CCACATTCAGGGTGGGTCTTTCTACTTCAGTTAAACCTCCCTAGAAAAGTCCCCACAGATGCCTAGAGGTGTCTTGTAGGTGATTCTAAATCTAGCAAAGGCAGATAGTAAAGATTAAGCAGCCTTGGAGACTGAAACCAGGGAGTATGTACGAAGCACACATTTTATCCCTGGGTTAAACCCCTATTCTCTGGGAGTCATTCTTGATCTTCCCTGTCTCTCATCCCACATTCTGTTTCAAATCTTGTTAGTCTCCAAAATATTTCTCATATGTAATGTGACCACTTTTCACAATCTGAAGTGTTGCTTCTCTAATTTCATCCTCGTCTCCCAGGGGGTTGTTTGAAACAGCCTCGAAGCAATCTTCCTACTTCATTCTTAACCGTTTTATCTAGTTTCCAATTACAGTCAAAAAAAGATCTTTTGAAAGTTTAAATTATATCATTTTCATGATTCAAAATTTGTCTGCTGGGCTGGCAAGATGGCTCACCGGGTAAATGTACCTGCTGCCAAGTCTGACAAGCTGGGTTAGATCTCTGGTCCTCACATGTTGGAAGGAGAGAAGCTAATCCCACAATTCTCTGACAACTGCATGTGTATATGCACATACACATACAACCCTAAAATAAATTTAAAACCATAATTTAAAAAATTAAAAATGGCCAGATATGGTGATACATATCTTTAATCCCAGTACTTGAGATGTGGAGGCAGGTAGATGTCTATGAGATCAAGGCCAGCCTGGTCTACACAATGAGGTCCAGGCCAGCTAAATAGAGAGACCCTCAAAAAAGAAAAAGCAAAAATTAATTAATTATTTAAAAAATAGCCAACGTGGTGACACCTTTAATGTCAGCACTCAGGAGGTAGACACAGACCACTCTGATCTATATAGCAAGTTCCAGGCTATCCAGGGTCTCCCCTGTCTCAAAAGAATGTTAGTGGTCTTGCAGTGTGTGTTTAATATTTTATTTTTATTATTTTTATTTTATGTGTATGAGTGTTTTGCCCACAAGTATACTGTAAGTGCACCATGTGCCTGTAATGCCTGTATAGGCCAAAAGAGGGTGCTGTATCCCCTGGAACTGGGGTTATGTATAGTCATTAGCTGCTATATGGATGCTGGGAATGGAACCAGGTCCTATGGAAGAATAGAAACTGTTAACTGTGGAGCCATCTCTACAGCCCCAGTCTTGCAGTGTTAATAGGATTGGGTTGCTCAGGATATGGAGAGCTCTGCTCAGGCTTGGATAAGTGCATGAGACAAAAACAGGGCATGAGGTGAAATAGGAGGAAAAGGGGTCATCTTTGCAAGGCACTGTTTTTAAGTATTTACTATAAAAGTTTCTGTTGGCTTATGAAGCAAAAATTATAGAGAACAAAAAAATCTCCAATCAATTGAAGTTATAAAAGATGTTCCTATAGAAATGAATGTTTCTGTACATGGCTGTAATCCCAGCATTTAGGTGGCTGAGGCAGGGGGATCATTCAGGAGTTGGAAGCCAACCTGGCTTAAATAGTAAGTTCCAGACCAGCCAGGGCTACATAGCAACACTGTGTTCCCAACAACAAATAAATAAATTCCCCTTATCTCATGCGGGTAAGTACTCCTCAGTTGACATAGTTACTTCTTTTTTTTTTTTTTTTTTTTTCTGTCCTTTTGAAACAGGGTCTCCTTGTAGCCCCAGCTGGGCTGGAATTCACTATGTAGACCAGGCTGGCCTCGAACTCACAGAGATCCTCCTGCCTCTGCCACCATGCCCAGTGATATAGTTATTTCTTAACTTAAAAAAAATTTTTATTTTTTAAATTTTATTTTATTAGTTTTAAATTTATGTAAATGTGTGTATATCTGTGTGTGGGTTTGTGCATGTGAGTGCAGTGCTGAAGTTGCAGGCTACTGTGAGTTACCTGAAGTGGGTGCTGGGAATCGGACTCAGGTCCTCTGGAAGAACAGCTCCCAGGCTCTTAACAACTGAGCCATCTCTCCAGCCTCAAATCTTTGGCCTTTGAGCTTTGGGTGAACACCTAAAACATATCAATCAAATGCAAAAAGACTGAAGCTGTCAATTTGCAATAAGCACAAGTTTAATGAAATAGATGAAAGTACTATACAAAATGCTTTAATCATACACAATACTGTTAGCAAGTGAAGATCTTTAGTCATTTGGATTGACAATGGAAGCAGAGAACACAGAAAAGAAATATACCTCAAAAATAACCCAGCTCTCTGGAGGCAGAGGCAGAGGCTGAGTCAGGCAGATCTCTGTGAGATCAGGGCCAGCTTGTTCTACATAGCCAGTTCCAGGCCAGTGGGACTACAAGGAGACCCTGTCTCTAAAATAAACACAAAACAAAACAAAACAAAACAAAAACAAAAGCAAAAAGGGGGTAGAGAGATGGCTGAGTGTTAAGAGCATTGGCTGCCCTTCCAGAAGACCTGAGTTCAGTTCCCAGCACCCACATGGTGGCTGACAATTGTTCATAACTCCAGTTCCAGGGGATCAAATGCCCTCATCTGGCTCCGTGGCATTGCACTCACAGGTGCACTTATATACAGACAACACACATATGCATAATATCAGTCAGTTACCAGATAAAACCAAGTTCTGCACGTTGTCCTTTGACCTGAGCTGTGGTATATGGTATATATACACACACACACACACACACACACACACACACACACACACACACAGTATTTAAAAATTACAGTAGTTCAGATTAAAATTGAGTTACAAAATGACTTGTGAATATTCCTCTCTTTGGAGACCCTCCCACTTTCAGGAATTCTTTCTCATTTTTTTTTCTTAGTAAATCTATGTTGATCTGCTAAAAGCAAACAAACAGCAACAAATCCAAAACAAAAACATACAAAAATTCCAAAAACTTTGTATGTCTAGCAACAAAAAGAAGCATTAGGAAAACTGATAGGCACTTGGTCATGATGGTGTTTGTGTGTGTTGAAGAATTACAGACTGATCCCAAGACTTTGTGAATGTTAGGCAAGTACTATTCTAGTAAACCACATCCCTAGCTCCAAGAAAAAGATTTTAATAGACATTTTACCAATAAAGATATATAGATGCTAATGAAGCAGCTTTAGGTGCTCTTCTTGTTACACCTAAATGCCTTTATTCAGAACCTTCGTTTTCTACGTAGTCCTCACTGGGAAGACATAAATTAGAGTGCTAAGGAGATACTGCTACAGTCTCACTAGAATGGTTTGAAGTTTAAGAAGACCGACCAAGTTAAATGTAGACAAATGTGGAGCAACTCAAATTCTCATACGCTGCTGGTAAAATATAAGATGGTATACTCTGGAAAACAGTTTGTTGCTTCCTAAAAGTCATACGCATATCTATCATCAGATCCAGACAGTCTGCTCCTAGATGTTTACTCAGGAAAAAAGGAGACACATGCCTCATGGAACTATGTGTGTGAACATTCATAGCAGCTTCCAGCACAGAGGCCAACACAGGTGGCCTCCATTTATCATAAATACAGCCACCATGCCAGATGGCTGAGGCCTTAACTACCACAGATACAGTATTCCTTCATTTGGGCATCTTTTTTTTTTTTTTAATGACAGGATGTCCCTATGTAGACCAGGCTGTCCTTGAACTAATAGAGATCTACCTGCCTCTGCATCCAGAGTTCTAGGATTAAAGATGTGTGCCACTAGTTGAGAGTGCTAGGATTAAAGGTGTGTGCCACAAGGCTTGGTGATCTTGGCATCATTTGCTCAAGATTCAAAGTCTATGGAGGACAAATCTGGATCACAATGCTGTCAGCGCAGTAGGAGGAGGAATCACAGCTCATAGGCTTCTAAAGATACAGGAAGGAGCTTAGTTCCTGTGAAGATCTAGGTAACAGGCAATTTTCCCAAATATACAAGTAGCTTCAGAGTCTGGCCATCAGTTGCTTCTTAGATTATTGGCTAAGATCAAGTACTGAGGCTGGAAGGCAAAACAATTACAGATGTCTACTACTCTAAGGTTCTGAATAAAGGCATTTAGGTGCATTTTAAGTAGGGCCACGCCCTCAAAGGATTAGGTAGATGAATTCTTTGTCCAAGTTATTAACTTAGGTACTGTCACCTCAGCCCTGGTGAGTGGTAGAACACTAACTCAGCATGCACAAGGCCTTTGGTTCAGTCCCTTGTACCACCAAACACAAAACACAAAACTGCCTGTAAATCTTAACTCTTACATTTTGCTTTTTGAGACAGGGACTCCAGTAGCCCACACTGGTCTCAGATTCCCTATATAGCTGAGAGACTGGTCTTGAAGCATCTCCTAATGCTTCTGCTTTTATCTCTCAAATTTTGGGATATAGGTGTATACCACCATGCTTGCTTTTGTTCATTTGTTTTTGGTATCACAAAATTGGGTCTCTGGAGCCCAGGCTGGCCCTTAAACTCACTGAAATCCTCCTGCTTCAGCCTCCCAAGTGCTGTGATTACAGGCATGAGCCACCATGCCTAGTTGAACTAGGTCACTGTAATTACAGAATTGGCTCACAGTGAATCATAATACTGAATGGTGGCAGTAAGCATATGCTGGCCATATAGCTTTTTTACACAATGAAATAACTGGGCTTAGAATACTGCTACTAGATAGAGTCTCTTCAAATAGTGTTGCTTAACACTGAATTGCTACCTATAGGCAGGCAGTGTGTGTCTATAGGGCCAAGACTAAGGAATCCCAGGTAAAAGGACCATTTGACCCTAGGAATCTGGAATAGCCTGGGAAACACAGTGAGACCCTATCTTACAATAATTAGTCTAGGTTTGATGCTGATCATCTGTAACCCCGATAGTCAAAAAGCTGAGGCAAGAGTAGCACAAGTTTGAGACTAGCCTGAGCTACACAGTGAAAACTTGTCTCAAAAAAGCCAAAACCAAATAAACAAATGAATAAAAATAAATTACTTGGCTATCCATAGACAAAAACATCTATCTTGACCTAAATGTTAGACTTCATTTGAAGATTAATTCAATCACATCTTTGCCTTTTGACTGAATTCAAGTGTAGTTTCTCTTCTTACCTGTTTAACATCTGATACCTCCTTTATCTGAGACATATTAAATGGACATTTGGAACATGGAGATGGAATAGGAGTTTGCTCTATCTACTCAATGCATCCACTGAAATTGCAGTACCTCCAGAACAGTGCACACACACACACACACACACACACACAAAACCAATGAATTCAAGTGGATCATATTAGACATGGTGGTGCATGACTATAATCACAGTACTTGGGAGGTGGAAGCAGGAGTATCAGGAGTTCAAGGCTAGCCTCAGTCACGTAGGGACTTTGAGGCAAGTCTGGGCTATAGAAGACCCTGTCTCAAAAGCACAAAGACAAAAACACAAAGTGTAAGACATGCAACTGGGGCTGGAGAGATGGTTCAACAGTTAAGAACACTGGTTGTTCTTGCAGAAGACCTGGGTTCGAATCCCAGCACCCACATGGCAGCTAACAACTGTCTATAACTAGCTCCAGGGGATCCAGCACCATCTTATGGCTTCCATGGGCATGGCATAAACATGGTGTACTTACATACACACAAGCAAAACACTCATATGGATTTTAAAAAAAAAGCAGACACATAAAAAGAAATTGGTAATTTGAATCTCTTCAAAATTAAAAGCTTGTTGAGCATCATGGTTCAAAGCAACAAATGACAGAAGCAAGTCAAGGGAGGAAATGTTAACTTTGACTCACAGTTCCAGAGTCTGGTCCATCATGGTGGGGAAATGATGGCAAGAGAAGGCCAAGGCAGCTGGTCACAGTCCCTCTGCAGTCAGCAAACAGAGAGAAAGAATTCGAGAACTCATCTTGCTTTCTGCTGTTTAATTCAGTCCAGGAGCCAACCCCTCAGAATGGTGCCACCCACATTCACAGTAATTATAGATCCTGTCATGTTGACAATATTAACTGGCATCTCTGCTCATGCCTATAATTCTAGTACTAGCCTGAGGGAGGAGGACTACCATGAGTTCAAGGCCAGCCAGGGCTTCAGAGTGACCCACCATGTGAGTCTTGGGTATCGAATTGAAATCATCAGGCTTGGTGGCAAACACTTTCACTGGCCCTACAAACCTTCAACTTCTATCCTTGGGTAAATATTAAAACCCAAACATTAAAGCTTGCTGTTTTGGACTCTGGTAACACTACCCTAAGGTGGACTCATGCATTTATTGCTCTGGCTTCCCTTTCTGCTTTGTTTCTGGCATTTGGAGATTTTCTTTTGGTGTGTGAGCTCATCTATAGTTGTTTGTATGTTTAACTAAACCCCTCCTATTGAAGAAAGGCAGCTCAGGCTGCCATCCCCAGAACTGGAGACCCTTAAGGAATAAACTTATAACTCTGACATATTAGACATCATTGGGCACAAAAGGGAATAATTATGGATGTTTAACAAATCTCTAAGACAGACATGGTGGTGCATATCTGTAATACCATCACTTTCAAAGGTGAAGGCAGTGGAATCAGGAGTTAAAGGTCAACCTGGGCTACATGAGTCCCTGTGTCAAAAAAATAAAAATAAAAACAAAAACAAAAAGCCCACAAATTAAATTAAATATCTATTTGATATTTAAATGCAAAAAAGAGATGTTCAGTACTGATGCACTTTGTTCTTTGTTTTTTGTTTTTCCTTTTGACAAGTTGTGAATAATGTAGGAGGTCACAGCTTCCCTCATAATTAAATATAGTAAAGAGATGTATTGTTTTTTTAATGGTAGTTGGAGTAATTAACAATAGTCAGAGGAGAGATAGTAACTAATGCACAAAGAGGAGCTACACTTTTTCCACCTACCCCAGTTCATACATATATAAATAGAACAGGCTTTGCTCATAGGCAGAGAATGGGATTGTCTACATGAATAATTTGAATAGCCAGAAAGATATTCACACTTAATCACATCTGATGCTTGAAATATTAACCATTTGCAATCTGTACCAAGCAGAATCTCTGTTGAAATGTACAGACTTGTGAGAGGGTAATATATCAAATCCCTAATTTTCCAGAATGAATTATATATTCATTAATTTAATAAACATTTATTGAATGCCTACTGACTGCCAGGTTTGAGATCATGAAATTACTTGTCCTTACAGAGTTCACTTTTGGAGCTAAAAAGGGGCTCAGTGGTTAAGAATCCTTGATGCCCTTGCAGAGAACTCAGTTCAGTTCCCTGCACCCCACATTAGGTGGCTCACAACCACACAGAACTCCAGTTCCCAGGAGATCTGATGCTGTCTTCTGGCATCTGCAGGCAACCATACATACTCGGCACACGCACACGCACGCGCATGCACACACACACACACACACACACACACACACACAGACATACACACATATACATTAAAAAAAAATCTACAAACCTATGTCAACTCCATTATATAGGCTTTGAAATGTCCCGTGCTTCACCCTGTAGTCCTGCCAGCTTTGGACGAGAAGGGGGATTGAAATCTTTATGGTCACTCCCAGATCTATACTTTGGCTTCTGCTAAACTAATTCTTGAGTAATTAACTTACCATGGAGTTTTCATTGTCCTGTTCCTGTAACACTTCAACATTAGCACAGAACCTGGCTGTTTTTCTTAATTTCTATATAAAAACCATTTGTATAAGTGTGTATATATGTTTGGTGGGCATGAATAAAATGTAAATAAGTATGTATGCTAGTGTGGCCGGAGTTGTCTCTGGGTCTCTTGCACTATGACGCAAACCACATAACATATCTTTATGTACATTTATTATTATCATGAGGGGGGAGTTACAAAGAAACGAACACCCAGTGCCTATCTCTGAGCTGCTCAGCTACACATTGCCCAGCTGCCCACTGCCCAGCTCTGCATTGTGGCTCAGAGCCCACCATCCCAGATCAATCCTATAGCATGCCCATAGTCACTGCTAGCTTTTGCCCATGCCTCAGGGGCCAGCAGTCTCACCCCAGGTCCATAAGTGCCAGGCCATTTTGTTCTTGAGTACACTCAGCTGCTGTGCCCCCTTTACAATCGAGGCTCCCCTTTCAGATGGGGCCACAAGCCCCTCCTTCCACGGCTAACTCTCCACAGTCAATTCCCCACAGGAGGCCGCCCCCCTTGGAGGAACCAGGACCCCTGGGGAACACAGCTAGAAATCTAAGTATCTTAAAATTTAACATACAATATTTTAAAAGATTTTTTTTTTTAAATGCTGGGTGTTGTGGCACATGCCTTTAATCCAAGCACCTGGGAGGGAGAGGCAGAGGCAGGTGACCTGGTCTACATAAGTGAGTTCCAAGCCAGCTGGGGCTGCAAGAAGACCCTGTTTCAAAGACCAAAAAAAGATTTAAAATATGTATTTGTGCAACCCCTATGGAAAGCAGTGTGGAGAACTCTTAAAAAACTAAAATGAGCCTGGCATAGTGGTGGCACACCTTTAGTCCCAGCACTTGGGAGGCAGAGGCAGGCAGATCTCTGTGAGTTCGAGACCAGTTTGGTCTATATAGTGAGTTCCAGGCCAGCTGTGGCTACAGGGAGACCCTGCCTCAGAAAAAAGACCACAAAAAAAAAAAAAAAAAAAAAAACTAAAAGAAGTGAACCTACCATTTGACCAAGTTATACCATTCCTTGACATATACCCAAAGGACTCATCCTGTTGCAGAGACACTCGTACATCCATATTTGTTGCTGCTCTTTTCACAATAGCTAAGAGATGGAAGCAACCTAAGTGCCCCTCAACTGACGAATGGATAATGAAAATATCCTACATTTATACAATGGAATTTTACTCAGTGGTAAAGAAAGACAAAATCATGAAGTTTGCAGGTAAATGTATGGAACTAGAAACTGTTATACTAAGTAACACAGACTCAGAAAAACAAATAATTTATGTTCTCCCTCATATGTGGATCCTAGCACCAAATCCTTTTAAGTGAGTGTGTATCCAGACATAACTGCAGGAACCACAATAATGAAAAAGAACCACGGAGGTAAAGAGAAAGAAAGAACCTGAGAGAGAAGAACAGTAGGAGACAGGTGTTACTAAGGGAGAAATGGATAAAAAATGGGGTTATTTAAATGGGGGGTTATACAAGGAACCTTGGGGATAAAGGGGAAGAAGGAGCTCAAGAACTTGAAGGTAAGACCCTACTGCTGAAGACAGAAATACTTTGGACACAGGATTTGGAGTAATAGAGCTGCAACTGACCTGAAACCACTTCCCCTGAAGGTTAGTCCTCATAGCTTTGGAGAGCAATATGAAGGTACCAAGGGAAAACATCAATGTAAGGTCCAACCCCAGCTTCAAGACCAAATAACCATATCAATGGCTAGCATAGCATACAATATTGGTGCAGTAGTGGACTTTTATCTTGGGGGCAATCAACAGATACCTAATTGAATTAAAAGCCCACTCAGTGAGAGGAAACTCAAGTGTGGTAATGTAAACATAACAAAATACACATGGCTGGAGTGGTCATATATATTAGAGAAAATCCCAAGATTGTCACATCCCTAGGCTAATGTTATTTTTTATTATGTACAATATATGTATCCTTATATTTACACACAAATATCCCAGTCACCACTCATCAAAGAAACTCATTTTACACCAGTTGGAAGCTATTACCATGTACCACAACTAGTCACACACAGACATTGTCTTTGAATTGCCCAGGCCTAAGTGACACATCTACAATGCAACCTCTACACCTAAGGCTCATGGAACATAGAACAGGGATAAAGAAGAGGACACTAATGAATCTCTCAGTTCTCGTTAAAGAAGCTCCCTCATGCAGTGGAGGGCCAGGAACACAAAAGTCCATAAATGGCCAAAGCATAGAGATCAGGATTCTGCTGAATGCTGGTTCTTGGACAGGACTCCTTTATTAAACTTCACCCACCCAAGGCTCAGGGACCATCTTGGAAGAGGGGGTGGAAAGATTGTAAGAGCCAAGGAAGAGGTATATGACCATATGGAAATAAAATCCTACAAGCTCTTGAGAACCTTCTCATATGATTCTGTGGCAATGGTGTCAGCATACACAAGTCCCATGCAAACTCAGGCAGACAAAAACCTAGCATTGAACTGGGAAAATGAACAGCAGACCCCCATCTTATCTGAAGAAATATTGGCAACTGATTACTGCTAGGTGAAGAAGAGCTGGTCTTCCTAAA